AACTTTTGTGGTTGGCACAAGAGAATTGATTGGGACATTGTCTTTCCTCATCATGGCCAGTCTTTGCGAACGAAGATTTGGGAAAGGTCTTGACCCACATTTGTTACAAGCGTGCTGGAGATACAGGGCTTTGCAAATGCAGGTAAGGCCTTCAAGCCTGTGCAATGGATTTTTTAGGTGAGACACAGTGTGCGCTGAACTGAGCCCACCCTTTAATCCTAAGGTTCATCTGCCGGGGCTGAGCAAGCTTGGATGGTGGCAGCGAGGTCCTCAGGACGTAGGTTTGTTTAGAGTGACCTTCTCTTAGATGGATGGCCTTACAGGGCTGACGAGCTCCATCTGCCTGGGTTTAGAGTTGTCCTTCTCTTCTGTGTGTTCTGGGGCTCCCCTCTCAACTCCCACGATGGCACTGTCCACACAGGCGAAGCTCCCATTCTCTCGCTCCTTTCTGTGCCCAGGGCCGGGGCCCCAGCGCCCGGGGCCGGGGCCCCCACCGCCGCGACGCACGCGGCCCGGGACCGGGCTGCCTTTCCTACAAACATCACAATTACACCTCAGTGGGATAAAAAGTGGTGCTTTTTTAGTTACTGCTCAAGTTACTGATTGTTGTAGTTTTTTCCGTTGTGTCTGCTTCTAGAGTAACACTTGGCTGCAGGAAGGCTCAGGAAGGCTCAGAAGAGCTCTCTGAAAGGGAGTTCCCTCTGAGAACCCCAGAGGAGACTAACGCTGATGCTGTTGCATTTCTGCAGCCCTCCAGGAATCACTGTGTGCCTAAACCAAGAACAGGCAAACCTGACATCATTGCAATTTGGGAGAGGAAGGGATGAGCTATCAGGGCCACTGTTAAGGGACTGTTATTAGGCAGCAGGGTTAATGTTGATCTGAGAGGCCCAGGCAGAGCCCAGATTTCTTTGAATGCAGTGGCAAGACCCACCACAAGTTAAGGGCCAGCTCCTCTGAATCTCTGGGCTTGCATCAGAATCCATAGTGCTGCAGGCCCCAAAAGGGAGCAGCAGCAGCAGTAGCAGTAGCAGGTGCAGAGTGTCACATGGCTGTGGGATGCCAGTGAAGAGGGAGGAGGTAGCCCCATCTGGCCCAGAGAAGAGGTGCAAGTAGGGAGCTCCATGGGACAGAAAGTGAAAAGAAGGAGGTGCTGTAGCAGCTGAGGGTCGATCCCCAAACGCCCCTGTGGCAGGTCTGATGTCTCCTGGATCCTCCTTCACACCTGCCATGCCACCTCAGCAGCACGGTCCCGGCCACCTCCAGCACCTGCCCTCAGAGGAAAGGATGGCAAACCTGGGACCCCTGGGTGCTCTATGCCATGTCCCGTCCCGCCCCACCCCGACATGTCTCCCCACCTGCAGTTGGGGCCAGTCCCCAGTGCTCCCAGGGACATGCCCAGGCTCTGGCAGTGTGAGTGCTGCAGCTCTGTGCTGCTGAGTGAGCATCGCCAGGGGCTCTGACATGGGGTTACCAATCAGAAAGATCCCAACATACTGTCCCATCACCTCCTGAGGGATGCTGGAGGTTCCCTCCACCAGCATCCCCATGGAGGCAGCTCTGGCTGGGCCAGGAGATTCCCTGCATCCCCACAGGACAGCTCTCTTCACAGGCACTGCTGAGCCTATTCCCTGTCCCAAGGGATCAGAGCCTGCCCTTGTCCCAGGACACACAGCCAGGAGTCAATTGTACTCCAGCCGATCAGCTCAAAGCATGAACATGCCTGCCAGGGGGTCTCCACCAAACCAACAGCAGTGCTATGCCTGCTGAAAGAACACGGGTGTGCAGGGCTGCTACTCTGTTGCTGGGCAGCACTGTCCTGCCCGCCAGTCCCGCCTTGCTACCAGCCCCCCAACAGAGCCCAGGCTTACCTGTAGCCACCCCTGACTGGCCCTGCCAAGGAAGCTGTGCTGGGGCACCCACCAGTACTGGATGTGACTGTTTGCCTGGGAGCCAAAGTGTCTCTTCACTCCAAATACACTGCACCATGTGCTGAACCTGCAGTCTGGGCCATGGAGTTGAGCCACCTCTCCCTTGCTAGTGTTACCTCTTCCATCTTGCCCTGCTTTTGAGACACAAGCAGGACTCCAAAGTGGCAAGCTCAGGGGCAAAGAACTAGGTGTGTCCAAGAAGCAAATTAGCACTGCTGTCAGGGGTGAAAAGTATACTCAAAAAACATCCTCAGCTTCCTATTGTGTCCCAGATGTGTGCTGAGAAGGCCAGAGACTTGGGGCTCCTTCAGCATTGCTGGTGGAGGTGCCACGTTGCTCTTCTGAAGACACTGCCTAGAGCTGCAGGGATGCTGGGGAGACAAGCAGCAGCAGCTGGTTTGGGGACATTGTCCAAAGTCCTGTCTGAAACAGCTTTGGGAGCGTGGACCAGTCCTGGACTGAGCTGGACATCCCTTCACCACCCAGCACCCCAGTGCCAGGAGGCCTTTCCCCAAAGACCAAGCAGCTCTTGCTGCAGTAATCAATCTATCAGGGAAAAGAAACCTCTCAGTCATTTTCCTCTCAGGGCCTTGCTAATGGGGCCATGGGGTAAAATACAAATCAACAGGTAACAAAAAGATGGGGAAGAGAAAGAAGAGGGAAATGAGATTTTTGCTAAAAAAAAAAATCATAAGTTTCTAGTGGTGAGAAAGATCAGAGGAGAGACATTTACAATTGCTACTATTTTTCTTTTTTTTAATTAAATTATTATTTTATTTCCCCACTTTTCTTTTTCCTTCCGCTAACTGCAGCCTGTGTTTTCCAAGAGGAGGATAGGCAAGGCTAAGGTGTGGTACATGCTTCCATGTACCACATTGAATCACTGTCTGAAGAGACAATTGTATTTGCAGCCTGAGACAGAAGCAAAGGAAACAGAAGAGCTGGCCCACTTGGGAAGGGGGAAAGAGCCTTCTGTCAATCTCCGAATCTCTAGTGGTGACAAGGGCTCACTGCCAATCTGTCAGCACAAATAGCTTCTGGAAAGACAACTTATTACCCTGAGGTTGTGCTGCTGGCACACATTTGTTGTGTTATGAAAGTGTAACAAAGGCATGTCCTAAAGTTCATCATCTGCTCTCTCACAGAATGGGATAAAGAAATGAAGAAAGAAACAAACCTTTGTATTTAACAACTACAGTTCTCCCCCAGCATTTCCTTAGGCTAGTTTAAATTCAAAATGGGTTTCGTTTAAGGTTTTGAAGATATGCTTCAAGGGAGAAGACAGAAAAAACCCCAGAAATCAGAAAAAAATTAATATATTTGGTTCATTCAATTTTCAGTGCAGATTGTAAAAGCTTTGCTAAACAAAGATGATTCTTTCCATGGCTGCGAAATCTCCCACATCAGTCATCAGTCTGTACACCTGCTCTTCATGCCTGTGCAAACCAACCCTTCCTTTCCTCTCCTCTCCTCTCCCTGCCTTTTAGAATGTAATTTATTGGCCTATTTTTAATCTGTTGACTGGAAGGACTGGGACTGTGCTGTGCACTTCACTGAGGCCAAGTGCACGAGTGGATGAGGTGACGTTATTTAATTTCTTTGCCCAACAACCTGGGGTCACTATCTGCGGAGAATTTCACTCTTCTCCGATTATGGTGTCCTGAAATCAGTGGTTGTGCTTATGCTGCTCATGGGGATCATGAAGTTTCCCATCTCACTCCTCTAGTGCCGGTGTGATATTTTTTCATCTGAATAGCATCTGTGTTTGTCCAGGGGTCTCCAGGAATGTGAAAAGTGTTACACTCTTTTTCAGGAGTTCCCATCTCTTCTGGGGACTGGGAACAGAAGTCATTACATATATCTTAGATTTGACAAGGTTTTAGAGAATAATGTTGCAAAATTGCGAAAAGATTGCAGAGTTTAATGGCAGGCCTTCTAGAAGGGAAGGTAGCTTTGCTCCAAAACTAAACTGAAGGAAACAGTTTCCCTCATCCACATTCTTTCTGCCTTGCTCCCTAGTCCCAGGGCAGCTGTCTCCAAGGAACCTGCCCAACAGCCAGAGCCTGCGGTGCCAGCATTCACCTTGTCTGTGAGGCTTTCATATCCTCTGTGAGAACATCCAAGGCAAGGAATGCCAGGTGTTCCATCACTCCCACACTTCCTGGGCTCTTCCTTGGCTGGCAGTTATGTGCTGTTTTTGGGTCTCACCTCTCAGGTTGAGGTATCTCTCACAGAGCTCCTTATCTCCATTTGTCTCTATGTCCTCTCCCATCTCTCAGATGGACCAACTTTGCTACTCTGTGCCTTCTTGCCTGAGTGTCTTATTCCTGCCCTGTTCTTCCTTTCCCAACCTCAACACTTAATGTCCTGAGGATTTCTTCCAGTTTGAGACTTTATTTTTTCCCCACTCTGTCCTTCCTTTTAGGCTGCCTGTTCCCTTATTGGGGTGTCCTGAGAAGCTGCACTTGACATGCAGGGATCTTTTGCTGGGCTGCTAATCTGGGTTCCATCAGCATGTGCTGCTTTCAAAGCTGTTCTCTTGCTCTTTGTTTCTCCTGATGCTTCCACAACTGTACATGACCATTCCTTTAACCCTAAAAGAAGCAAGAAAGACAAATAAAGAAGCAGCACCCTGCCATTCAAGAGATTTTGGCTCACTTGTTCAACTCTATTTCTAGATAGTTACAGAAGCTTAAAATGATCCATCTGTTATGATTTTGGGTAGATTTCACTGTGGAAACAGCTTGCTGATGTGAAGGGCTGTTAAACACATCAACATCATGGCCAGTCTTTGCGAACGAAGATTTGGGAAAGGTCTCGACCCACATTTGTTACAAGTGCGCTGGAGATACAGGGCTTTGCAAATGCGGGTAAGGTCTTCAAGCCTGTGCAATGGATTTTTTAGGTGAGACACAGTGTGCGCTGAACTGAGCCCACCCTTTAATCCTGAGGTTCATCTGCCGGGGCTGAGCAAGCTTGGATGGTGGCAGCGAGGTCCTCAGGACGTAGGTTTGTTTAGAGTGACCTTCTCTTAGATGGATGGCCTTACAGGGCTGAACGAGCTCCATCTGCCTGGGTTTAGAGTTGTCCTTCTCTTCTGTGTGTTCCGGGGCTCCCCTCTCAACTCCCACAATGGCACTGTCCGCACAGGCGAAGCTCCCATTCTCTCACTCCTTTCTGTGCCCGGGGCCAGGGCTGGGCCCCAGCACTCGGGGCCGGGCCTCGCCGCTGTGAAGCACATGTTCCAGGTGTTAAACACATAGACCTCAGGCATGAGACAGGCTGAAGATGGGGCTTATCTCACCTGTATTTAGCCATCAAGACCTGATGCTGATTGACTGTCTAAGTTTGATTTGGCTCCCCACCAAGTCCCCGAAGCCCAGCACAAAAACCTCTGGCAAAGAGCAAAAGAGAAAAAAAAACTGTGAAAGATCTAGACTAGCCAAACTATATTAAAATATATGTATTTACGTATATTACAGTTATATACAGTTGAAATACCATATACAATCCCAAAAGGGAAAGGGAAAGGGAAGGGGAAAAAAAAAGGACAAAAAACCAAAACCAAAAGAGATATACACAATTGTGGCAGTTCGAGCCACATTAGAAATCTAAAATCCAATTTCCAGGCTTCCCTCACCACTTCTCAACAATTTATCCTAACACCGGAGAGAAACTTTCAGGCCAGAGGCTTCTGTAGGGGAAGGGGGAAGTATATACATTTATTTACACAAATAAATACTATATAAACTAAAGGCAACTATATATATATATATTACATTACTATCAGTCAGTCCTTTCAAGCCCCTCCTTTAACTTTAGTCCAGGAGCAGCCTTTAAGGCTGACATGTAACACAGTCTTTTGTTGTGGGAGTGTTCCAGGTTCTTGAACACTCCCTCCTCACCAAACCTCCAGCAGTTGTTTGTTGTAGTCTCTCCTCCTCATGAAGTCCGAGAAGATAGTGTAATAAATAAGTAGTAGTAGTAAAGTAATTTACTCATCAAATTAGTAGTAGTAATTTACTCATTCAGTTGTATTGCATGTTATATTTCTATATATATGTTATTGTAATCAATGTTCTGTTAAGGCTGGAGAACTGCAAGCTGCAGAATGGTTAATTAATCTGTCAGTACTATAGGCTGATAGTTCTGCAGCTGCAGTTCTTAAGCTGACAAGACAGATTATTTTGCCTTACTGAATAAGTATTTTGTATCTTGTTTTTCTAGAAGTATGTTGTCTAAAAGTGTACGCCTAAAGTAACGAAGGGAAGGACAAGGATCAAAGGGTCAAGTACAAGGACGATAAAGAGGATCCAAGATGGACATCTGGAGGGACTCACACACTAGGCCTCAAGGACGAAGAATTACCTAAAACTATGGATGGGGAAGTACTTGGCAACTGAAGCGGGCCTGCAAAAGAACCAACCAGAACCAGACCTGTGAACTCGGATCCAATAGAGGGATAACAAGGAGGGGAAGGGAATTTAAGGGAGGGGAATTTAAGGTTACTGTTTTTGCCCACTGCGTTTGCAGGCCATGAGTGGAGCAGGGGTCTCCCCCGGCCGCCCAGCGTGCTGTTTTGCTTATTTGCATTTTATATAAATCTTTAATAAATTTTTGCTGCTATACTTCAGTCTATTTTCATTTAACTATAACAATAGCGTTGAGTCCTTGCTCTCCTGCTGCTGGTGATTCCTCCCTCTCGGTGTCTCACCTTGGTTCATAGGCTGTTGCAGTGTAGCTTATCACCCGTCTGTGTCCTGGAATCTTCATTCCTCCACATCAGTTCTCAGCTGCCCCCGGTCAGCTTCGGCAGGCAACTCTCGAGCTCTTGGCTCATCTCCAATTTCACCTGGGACTCTTCTCCCGAGCACTGGGCCTACTTCTACAGCCCAGTCTCTTGGCTCAGCTTCAAGTTGAGCCTCTCCTCCACTTACAGGGAAGGGAAAGAAAAAGCCCCCCTCTACAGCTTCACTGCAGAAAAGGAGGGGGGAAGAGGGCTCGGCTGCAAAGCCCGCCTCTCTCCTCTTACCTCAGGTGCTGTGAATCTCTTCCTTCACAGCACACACTCCAAATGCTGACTCTAATTCTAGCCAAAGGCTGAGTTGGGGGGTTGCAGGGCTCCCCTCTCCCCCCCGGAGGGGGAAGAGAGGGAGCCCAGCCACCCCCTGGCCTTGTCCACCTACACACAGCAGACACTAACAGCAAAACAACCAAGACAGAACTGCCAACAGCTTCCGGTGCTGTGATATGTGATTTTGAGCAGAAGCGAACAACATGAGTGGTGATTGGCTCTCTAGGGAACACTGCCCTGGCACCCAAACACCTCTGAGCCCCCCAGCCTCTCAGGGGGGGCCAATCTCAACCTATGACAACAATAAAAAAAAAAACCACCTCAGGATCTAGCAAGCTAAAGAATTAGCAAAAGAATATCTTACTACTTTCCTTGGGAAATACCACCGCCACACTACTGAACCCTGGAGAAGCAGGAACAACAGGCCCTGTAGGACCAGCCAGGCCTCAACTCCCCCCACAGGAGTGAGACTGGCCTTGCGGGAGTCTGCTGTCTCCAAACCTTGCCGGAAGGGAAAAGAGGAAGAGGCTTCTCTCTCTGTCTATTTATATGTTTGGATTACGTAAAGGAATAGGATGGAATACTTCCTTCCTGACCGCCAGGAAGGAAGGCCTAAACTCAAAACCATTACATTGACCTTACAGCAACACGGTGGTTTCCATGGCTTGAAAGCACTGTTCCATTTCTGGAAACCTTAAAGGGGAGACAGAAGCTGAAGAAAAGGTGTTTGCAGCCTGGTAAAGCCTCAGGGATAAAAGGGACAGGTGTCAGGGATTTCCAGTTGAGAAGCACCACTCCAGCTCCAGGGTCTGGTGAGTGGGGAATAGCTCTGGGTATGGATGGGCTTCCACACAAAGGGGGTGTGAATCTTCTCTTTGGGTCAGACTTCTGGGGACCTGAAAGGGAAGTCCCTTGGGACTGAGAGGCACTGCTTATTCCTGGGAGTAATGTGTGGGGACCCTCTGAGGGCTGAGGTTGTCATGGTCTGTAAGTCCTACTGAGCTGCACCCCTAAAACTCTGCATGTGCCACAGGTGGAGTAGCATTTCCTGGGAACACCATCCTAAGGCTGTTGAGGTGCAATGTGTGATGGAGGCCTGACATGTTCACAGCCTCAAGCAGCTTCTGCCACAGATGCCTTCAGAGGAAGGAGAGTTGCTTCCATATTGCATCCACTGGTGCTGGGCCAGTGCGACCCTGTGTGCCCACCACATTCATGCTGACCAGAGGGACGCTCCGGCTGAGGGTGGCAGAAAGAATCACCTTTCAGGGATGGGACTGGCACCTGAGGCACTCGGTCTGTCCCTGTCTGCTTCCATTCCTCATCATCCTGAACTGTGAGTCTCTGGTTTTCTGTCCTAACCAGCCCGCGGGGACACCTTGGTGTCCTGAAACAGCTTCATCACCATCAGCCCTCAGCAGACCCTATTAAACTATCCTTACCATACCTCACCCTCTGCATGGTATGTGACACTCTCAAGAGGGTTGCAGAGTGCAGGAGGCATGATGAGCTCGTTATCATCTGAGATTCTCCACACAGCCAGAGTCTGGCTGGTAGGAGAGGCTGTCCTCTGGGAAGGGCTCCAGGAATCATGGCTTTAAGGCAAGAAGCCTAAGAAGTTAAATTGGTCTGCTTCAAATGAGCGTGATCCATGCCTGTCTCTAATGGGAAATCTGATACTGTCCCACATGAGGTAGTGCCACAGTCCCTGAGGCCAAGCACCTTCTGGACAGCCTGGAGCTATTTTCCTGCTTGGGCACCAAGGACTAAGCTGTACCTGGTGAGATCTTCCTTGTCACTGCCAGAGCATGACAGTTGTGGTAGTTTGGTCTAGGCCTTCCTTGGTGACCAGTTTGTAACCAAGGAAGGGTCCAGATTTACCCAGTATTCCCTACGATTTTTACGTAAGCCAGGGTATAAGAAGAAAGGAGGAGAGGCCTTCCCTCTCTTTCCTTCCAGCAGCTTGGAGGTGCAGGTTCCCTGCTGTTGAGTCTGCCGTGTTGGGGAGCGAGGCCTGGTAAGGCCTTGTCGACCTTGGGAGACAGAGGTTGCCGGCGATCGTTCCAGCATGACTTTCTGTTGTCCCAAGGAGAGTAGTAAGATAGTCTTTTGCTAATTTCTTTTAGTTGCTAGATCTCGGGCTACTGATTGGGATATATATATTTTTTATTTTGGTTTTGTTCCTTTTCCCTTCCCTTTTCCTTGTGAAATTGTATATATATTTCAATTGTATATAACTGTAACATAAGTGTAAATATATTTATATATATTGCTTTAGTTGACTCTCTCTTGTTTCGTTTTTCTTGGTTATTGTTTTCTCCCTCTTCTCCCTGAGGCTTGCAGAGGGGGGGACTTCTTGTGGTAAGGTTTGGAGACTTGGCAGGGAGCCAGCTTCAAACCATATCACAGTACACAATCCGGTAACATCCTGTGAGTGCTTCAGGTCTGTCCAGTGCCTTTCCTGTAAGCTCATCTGCAGGCAGGGTGTCCTGATTCTGGCCAGGACAGGGCTAATTTTTGCAATAGCTGGGAGGGGGCATGGCCAGGACCTGGAGGTTATTCTATACCACCTCATGTCATTGCTGGGAGCAGGGATAAGGGAGGCTCTTCTGAGGAAAAGGTATTTTCCTTCTGGTTGAGAAACTGGCCGAGGGAGCTGTCTGGCATTGTCTAATATTGGAGAGTTTTTCAAGTGAATTATTTCTTTTCTTATACCTTTTGTTATTAATATTGTTGCTGTTATTGTTTATTTTCTTATCTCATGGCTGTTTCCAGTAAATCGTTCTTACCTCAGCTCATGATCTTTGCCTTTTGTGCCTCCAGTTGTAGGGGGGAGAGGATGTGGCAAGTGGTTTTAATGGGAGTAATAAATTGGAGAATACATTCGTAAATGATGACACAGGATCAGGAGAAACCATCACCTGCGATACCAAAAGCCATGCCATGTATAAAAAAAACCAACCCAAAGTTCAATGTTTTCATGCAACTGTAAGCTGTATCTGTAAACCAGCCTGTCACAGGTGGACATAGAGTCAAAAGACACAGACAGACAGGGACATATGAATATGGGAGGATGGACAGACAGATGACTGAATTACAGATAAGAATCAGCATAGGAAATCTGGCCAAGAATTAGACAGACAAACCTAAGGTAAGACAGACTTCAGAAAAAAAAAGTGACTGATGAATCATTAACAGAGAGACTGCTGGGCAGTGGCCGTGTGATGGTGTCATTGTGAGGGCAGCAGAGGAGGAGGATAGAGCTGTCTGAAGCCACAGCATGCACACAGAGACATTTAGATTTCTCAGTCTGGAAATGCCATTACAGAATTATGGGCAATACTGTGCATCCATTGTGTAAAATAATTTTAGGTGATAAAGAAAATAATTTAACTAAATCTAAAGAAAAATATTTTTGATTTTAACTGACATAAGCAATCTTTTAACTTCGAGAAAGCATCTTGTCCTTTATGCAAGTGGCCTTCTTTTTTATTTATCATCTATCAGCAGTTCAGGCTCACCAAATGGTTGGCAAATGTGATGTCCCTCTATAAGAAGGGTCAGAAGGAGGATCTGGGGACCTACAGGCCCGTCAGCCTAACCTCAGTGCCTGGGAAGGCCAGGGAGCAGATCATCCTGAGTGCCATCACATGGCATATACAGGACAAACAGGATGGGCTTAGGAAAGGCAGGTCCTGCCTGACCAACCTGATCTGCTTCTATGACAAAGTGATCCACTCAGTGGATGAAGGAAAAGCTGTGGGTGTGTCTACCCCAACTTTAGTAAAGCCTTTGGCATCATTTCCCAGAGCATTCTCCTGGACAAACTGATTCCCATGGTGTAGATGGGTGTTGGTAAGAACTGGCTGGTAGCCAGGCCCAGAGAGTGGTGGGGAATGGGGTTAAAACCAGCTGGGCTGGTCACTAGTGGGGTACCCCAGGGCTCAGGATTGGGGCCAGTTGTGTTTAAAGTTTTGATTTAATAAAGTTAAAAGACTCCAGTAGATGCCTGGGAGGGGTCTCAAGTGGATGCCAGAGGACACATTTTCCTTGAAAAGACAAAAATAATCTCTCTTTTCCTTGGAAGAATCTGGGGCTTCTGCCTGGGATCTCAGGTGCCTACAGTAGATGGGCTGCTACCCATGACCACAGGGCACTGTAAGAACAAGGCAAAAGACTCCACGAGATAGGGGAGAGGAATCTCAGCTGGATCCCAGAAGAGAGAGATCATTCCAAAACAGTCATCTCAGGTTGCTTCCTTGAAGGAGCCTTGGGCTGCTACTGAGTTCTCAGAGGACTAAAGCAGCTGTGTAAAGCCTCAAGGAGATTCCTGAGTGGAGTCTTGGGTGGATCCTGGAGGATACAATTTTCTCAAACAGTGAAAAACCGTCTCAGGTAGTTTTCCTGCAGGAGTCTGGGACTGCTACCTAGGTAGGATGTCAGGATTTACTAGCAGTAGTGAAAAGACTCTGGGAGATGCTTGGGAGGAGTCTTGGCTGGATCCTGGAACAGAGAGCTTCTACCAAGGAGCAAAACATCACAGGCAGCTCCCCTGGAGCAGTCTGGGGCTGCTACTCCAGGAGGTGACTGGGAGGAGTCTTGGGTGCAATGAGGAGGATACAGTTTAATCCAAGAGATAAAGCATCCCAGGTACCTTCCTTGGAGCAGTCTTGGGCTGCTACCTAGGATGTCAGGGCTTTAATAAGTAAAAATCTATTCGAACCCAGTCCAGCCCACCTTAAAACAGCTGAGCACAGCTGAGCTGAACTCAGCCCAGCCCAGCCCAGCCGAACCCAGTCCAGCACAGCCCACCCGAACTGAACCCAGCCCAGCCTAGTCCAGCCCGGCCCGGGCGAGCTCAGCCCAACCCAGCTGAACTGAACTGAACCCAGTACAGCCGAAAACCCAGCCCAGCCTGGCCCAGCCCAGCTCGGCCCAGTCCAGCCCCGCTGAACTGAACTGAACTGAACTGAACTGAACTGAACTGAACCCATCCCATCCCATCCCATCCCATCCCATCCCATCCCATCCCATCCCATCCCATCCCATCCCATCCGCACGGCTCTGCCCGGTCCGGTGCTGCAGCGCCCCCTGCGGGCAGGGCGGCTCCCGCAGCCGCCGGTGCTGCGGCCCCGGCCCCGTTCCCGGTGGCTCCATGTCCTGCTCCGCCCCAGCCTCGCGCTCGGGCACCTCCTGCCCTCCCTCGGCTCCTGCTGGGGTTCCCGGGAGGCGGAGCACGGTGAGTTTGGGGGGGAGCAGGCATCAGCGCAGCAGGAGCACGGCAGTGCCACCCCGGGACCACCTCCGGTGTGAGCTGGAGATGAGGACAGGATGGAGGAGCAGAGGGTCCTGCAGAGCACCCCCTGCCCACCCGCACACCGGGAGTGAGAGAGCCCATCCTGACAGGACCGCGGTACTGCTCCATCCTGCCTCTATGTCTGCCCAGCCCAGAGCTCTTCCCATCTTTTGGGATCCTCCAGGGGCTTCAGCTGCTCCTTGGGGCCCAGCCAGCACTTTTCGTAGAATCGTGGTATATCCTGAGTTGGAAGGGACTCACAAGGATCATCCAGTCCAACTCCTGGCCCTGCACAGACACCCCAATTCCACCCTGTCCCTCAGAGCATTGTCCAAAGGCTCCTTGAGCTCTGCCAGCCTTGGGGCTGTGACCACTGCCCTCAGAAGTCTGTTCCAAGTGCCCAAACACCTTTTGGGGAAGAACCTTTTCCTAATATCCACCCTAAACCTGCCCTGATACAGCTCCATGGTGGGGACCTGGGGCTGCTTGTCCTGCTGCATGGA